GAAACACCTCTAAAAAGTTAGCAAAATATTCTCTAAGGGTTCGTTTACATGACAGTGATTGTACTAAAAATGGAAAAGTTTTCTCTTTGCGCTTTTGAAAAGTTTCATGTACATACAACAATGGTGTCAAACGATCCCAGTTCTCATAGATGGGTGAAAACTAGGGCTGGGCGATATAGCTAAAAAATATATCAACAATATATGTTTCATATCTTTCGGTATCGATAATTATTGACATTTTTTATAACCTTTTTTAAAACAGAGCAATATAAATTTTTTTTTTTTTTTAGCCCAGTTTATTAAGACAAACAACAAATATATATAGGCATGTATATTATTTTTAACAGTCAAACACAAAATAAAATGTAAACAAATATCTCCTTTCTTATGTTTTATATGCAGATTAAATAAGCCTTAAGGAAACTTTTGACTTGTTTCCCGAGGGCGCAATGAGCAAAATAATGCAGCGCATTAAACTGTCAATTCAAATAACTGTCTATAAAAACATGCATAACGTCTAAATGAACATATATAAAACAAATATAATTTTGTAAACTGCGTAAACAATTATAAACAAAACAGCATCATGTGTTTATGCATTGCTTAGCCTAATACAAAGAGCCAAATCGCCGATCACACAGATTGCATTTAAAAACAAATGAGATGCAGTGAAATGAAATAAACCTTCACAAATTCTCGTGGGCTAGACTAACAAAACATTCAAATGCAACGTCACTTACCTCATTCATCATCACCGCATCTCGTGCTCCACTGATGACGCTCCCTGACGCACATCTAACATTCGATTGTACCATTTTTGCATTCAAATGCAAATGTTTATTTTAAATTCGACTAATATTAATGTTTTTATTCACAATCTCCTCATCACAGGCAGGCACAGCACTCAATTCAGCATGTGTTTGTGTGTGCTGTCTGCGTCACTCATAGCACGTGCCTATATCGTGTGCTATATCGAACATTTTTTATATCGTTATCGATGAAGGTGTACCGTTGATAATATCGATACCGTTTTATCGCCCAGGCCTAGAGAAAACTACTAAAAACACGGCATTATTCATGCCAGGCCAGTAGTTGGCGATGTCAGTTTGTAAGGAAACACTATGCATCTATGCACTTACTCATTCTTCAAGTATGTACTCACATATGTCTGTAGACTGAATACATAATACATATGCATGATGTCACACAAATTTGCGTTTTTGTAGTTTACATGGAGATGATAATAGTATTGCTTTCAAAAACTTGCACTTTGAAACCCGTTTGCATTTTATAAGCCCCCAAAACGCCATTGTCATGTAAATGAACGGCCAAAACACATTTTGAGTTGAAAACGCTGTTGTGTAAACACCCCTTTAATGTTTTAACTATCAGTGAGGATGCTTTTTCAAGCAGCCCTGCAGCATGGTTCCACGTTTACCGCTTTCTGTTTATGCAGTTTCTGTAACTATTTCTTACAGATCGGTCTTCATTAGGATTCAGAGCTTCCGCTTCCGTCGTTAACCGGTTAGTTAGGACTGTGGGATATGACTAGATCGGCTAGTGTTCTGAATCCAGTCGGGATGTGGGTGTCAAACAGTGTTTTGTAGCTTATTTGTATCATATCTGCGTAACATTTTATCAGCTCTTTCTCTCTTATTGCTCAGCATTTGCCAGAATGAGGCCTGTCTCATAATTTGACAAATTTATCTAATTATTAATCCGCCACCCATTTGTCATCCTTTGAAACTAATTATATTTTTCTTTTGTGTGTTTTCCTTTTTTCTTTCTTGTCTAAACACTTGGTGGTGTAATATCTCCGGACACTTGCCTCAGGGTCACTTGAAACAAATGCAAATGCAATGGTAGAAATTTCATAATAAACTGTAACTAAGATGATTGCCCTGCCAGCTATTATCCTTCCATTTAAGTCGTGCGATCCGTCTGTTCTTCCGCCTCGTTATTGCGGCACGACTGGATGTTATTGTAATGGGAGAGAGAAGAGAAGACGGCTTTGAATGGGAGGAGAGGGGGTTTATCTGAACATTCAATAATCCTTCCTTTATTTCTGTCTGCTTGATTGATGTCCCGAAACAGTCTGATATGCTTCTGATAACAATATAGAGGAGGAAAAAAAGAAAAAAGTAAGAGGAGCACGCTCAGAAAGACCAGAGCCCGTGTTTCTGTAAAAGTTATCGAAGGCAAGGTGTCAAAAACAAGCAGATTTCCGAGCGGAGCTTGATGTGTTTGTCATCTGAGACACAGTGGAGTGACAGTTTTACATTAAAGCGGGTCATTATATTTCCCTGTCATCACCCCAAATGACATTTTTAGAAAGTGACACCTTTACAGTTTGATAAATCAAATTTCTGCTGAATAATGTGCGTTAGTGTTGTCAGCGACACCCACATTCTCCGAAGAGCTACGGTGAGCCTCGCAGGATCCACATTTAAATTTCATCCTATTAGCATTTAATTTCTCTGTAATCCTACACACCTTCATAACACCAACACACACCGGGCTCTCCTGCGTTCGAGAGCAATCTATAGCCCTTTATAACTTCCCTCCCTCATCATTCTTCTTTCTTGACAATTAAGAGGCTGGAATCTAATAGTGGAGATATTGGAATTATATCCCAGCCTCTTCCAGAGCCACCGCGCTGGAAATTTCGACATGCTTAGCCCTCGTGTGCATGTTTACACGCACGCACACACCCTCGCAATCGTCTTTTGTACACGACTGAAGATGTGATTTACTCCAGAATATTATTAGTTTTTAACCCTGCCACTGAAGCTGTGTTGTTAAATGTTTTTATGTAACGTAGGGCCGGGGCGAGCTTTGATTTTTTTTAGTTTTTGTTTGACCGATTCAAGATAGCGATTTATATTTTTTAACTAATCAGCTTAAAAATGTAACTACAGCATGATTCAAGTTACATTCTCTTTATGCAAACCTTGCTAAACCATCTGGCTAAAGGAAGTTGTGTTCCAAGTGCAGCACGCATAAAGCGATCAACATGGTGTAAATGTAAAACTAATTCACTTCAGTGTTAAAAAACAAAGGTTCTTTATTGGCATCGATGATCCCGTGAAGAACCTTTAACATCCATGGAACTTTCCAATGCTCAGAAGTTTCTTTATAATGGAAAAAGGTCTTAAAATGATTATTAAAATATATTTTTTTAACTGGTTCTTTTAAGAACTGATCACTGAAAAGTTCTTTGAGGAGCCAAAAAATGGTTCTTCTGTTGCATCATTTCAAAACATATTTTTTAGACTTTGCATAAAAGATGCAAATATTATACAAACATGTCAGAAATAATTTAAATTAATTAAAAATTGCTAAATATTTCTTAGACAAAATGTAGACATTCAGTTGTGGCCTAATGGTTAGAGAGTCGGACTTGTAACCTGAAGGTTACAGGTTCGAGTCTCACTACTGTGTGTGTGTGTGTGTGTGTGTGTGTGTTCACTACTCACTGCTGTGTGTGTGCACACTTGGATGGGTTAAATGCAGAGCACAAATTCCGAGTATGAGACACTATACTTGGCTGCACGTCACTTTCACTTTAGAGGTCAAAGCAATTTAAATTCAAAATGACTGTAAATATAATAGCAGCAGCTGGTAATTATTTACAGTAAAAGTTTTTTTGTTTTTTTTATCAAAGAAAATAGCAGTAGCTTTCAGCCGGTCATCGTCATGCAAACATGAAATATCAAACATGCAGTTGTGGTTCTTTACAGGTTTTTCAATCCACTGCACTGCTTTTCCATAGTTTCTCTATGGGGCCTTTCGCACCGCGGGAACCTTTTCATAGTACCAGAACTAATTGTGGAACTACCCACTTTTTGGCGTTTTCGCACCGCCGGAACTGGGAGCGATTTTAGTACCGGACTGCCTTTTTCGAGAACCAAATTAGCTCCTACTTTGGAGCAGGGTCTAACCAGCACAACTGGTACTAATCGTGACGTAAGTAGATGAAAGTAGATGAAAACGCCCTCACCTGCCATGATTTAAAACGCCGTGTAAACATACTGTAAACATTGTGTCAACTTATTTCGCAAGTATGGAGAACAGCGATAGATGGACGGACGCTGAAGTGCAGGCACTTGTAGCAAATGTAGCACTGCCAGTTGTCATTGGAGATTCTTAGTCCTCCTTTCCGTTCTTTCAGTCGCTTTACGTATACGTCGACTTTCCATGTCCATTATTGTGAAACCCGCGAGACACAACAAAAACACAGCTCCGATCACAGCGTCCTCCATCCTCCTGTTGTTAATGTTGTTCTTCTTTGTTTCTGTTGTTGAACGCCGCGCACAAATGACGTCGCTGTCGACCGGCTTACGTCACTTCTTAGTACACACTGTCGGTGCGAATGCAACCCTTTAAATAGTACTGGGAAATAGTTCGCGCAAAATCGTCCCAGTACTTTAGTACTGTACATTTAGTTCTGGAACTAAAGCGGTGCGAAAGGCCCTTATGTAAATGTGCTTGACGGACATGTTTGACCATTGCACTTGAGTCTTGCTTCTTTTGCAGCATCTCGCGCATGAAACAGCATTCTAAAAAGTGATGTTAAAAGTTAAAAGAAGTTCAGTTTGCGTCTCATAACCTTGCGTTTTTCCCATTCCACTAGTGTGTCGTGTGTTTTTGGTCACAGAAACACATTCTGTGTGATTAGCCACTCAGGACTTGCGATATGCTCTACGTTACTCTCCTTCTCACACGTCATGCGCTCAGATCATTGTTTCCTCTTAACTGTTATCATTGGCATATTATCAGCACGTCTAATGATATTATTTGCTTTTATTCAAAACCACAATTATTCTCTAATTTAAAAAAAATGTAAAATTCATGGCAAGACATTATTCAAATGAATCGCTGAAATCAGAAAAATCAGCCAGCCCTTATGTAGCATTTCTCTATTAAGGTTGGAGTCGTCTTCTATGATTTTATTTCCTCTTAATCCAGTGTTTAGCCCGTTTTTTAATGTGCTTCTCTGTGTGCTTCACAGGCCAAAGCTCGACTCCAGCTGGTGCTTCAGGCTGCAGGTACAAATGCTTTCATTGCTTTATCCTCCACTCTCTGCTCATCATTTGTTTGCGGTCATTTTATGGATGTGTAGTATGGATCTGAGCACACTGCGATGGGTACTGTATCCCACAATGCAATGTGGTTGACCTGAACTTCCATTTCTGGTATGATGAATGAACCGGAAATGACATATTTTCAGCATCTGTTTCTAGACTATAGTTTTTGATTGAATTGCTGTGATCAGAGACATGAGAACTAGACAATGATCGCCAGGTTAAACACAACCTGCTACAATTGGAAATGTTACTGTTCTGCTTCACATACCAAATTTAGTAAAATAGTAGTCAGCATACAGTACATACTGTACAGCACACAGTATGCCATTGTATTCCAAATAGCTTGAACCCTAATAATATAATTGTCAACTACCTACCTACATACATAATCCATTTGTTTTGCACCAAAAGGACAAAGGCTTTAACTGGAAAATATTATATTATATTATATTATGTTATGTTATGTTATGTTATGTTATGTTATGTTATGTTACTTTACGTTACGTTACGTTACGTTACGTTACGTTATATTATATTATATATTCAATGAATGCTCTAGTAGGAGCTTTTTGGATTTAGTTCAAAGTAGTAGCATTGTCAGTGCAGTAATGTGTAAGATTAATTAACACATTCATTCAGCTGTTTCATTGTGTTTACAATTCTGGATTAAGAGCATCAACAGATAAATCCAAGCAAATCCTCAGACTGTGATGGAGATATAAAAAACTTATCAAAAATCATTTAGAAATGGAAACTGAGAAGTTATTGAATTATGATCAATAAAAAATGCTGTTAATAAGAAGACCAGCACTGAATTGATGCAGGTTAGTGGGGATATGTGATGCATTTGATTATTATTTGGGAATTTACATTTGGAAAGAAAATATATTGCAACATATCAGCAAATTCAGAATTCACGATTCAAGAGCAACCAAAAAAAAAAGCGTTTTTTTTTTGTTTTTTTTTAACTGACTGCTGTAAAAATTGGTAATAATCTGCACTCTAGGTTCTCTGAACGTTGTTTCTGGAAGCGTCTGAGCTGTACTTAGTGAAACGCAGAGGAAGATGTACAAGTTGTCTATTTATCGGCTTTCCATTTAATTGTGATAAAGGTTGTACAATATTAGTATTAGTTTGTTCAGGCCTTAAAAAGGTCTTTAAAAACTGCAACAGCATTGCACTGTTAAGATGTGATTCATACTGAAGAGCCTCTAAGAACTCAGTTATTCACATAATAGTGTCTACCAAAAAATATCAATGGGAATTTATATGTGGGTCAAAGACGAAAAAGGGTTTAAGCATAAAAACAATAAGTAATACTGCTTTAAATTGATGTTGTTTTTCCCAAATTTGTAAAAAAAAAAAAAATTCTGTTTAATTTAATTGCAATTTTGTTTTTGTTTTTTCTGAGCAAAAAATAAATATCATACGTTTACAGAAGACACCCACTAAAATGTCATTCAGTGTAACAATCTTGTCAGGCATATTTACAGCAAAAATCAATTTATGACATATTAAAAGACTAATTACTTTCACCCCATTTTTAACATTTGCCACTATCCTAGGTTCTGCCCATTTGTCAGTAAGATTTTTTTACTCATTTAAAACCCAATAAAATGTAATATGCTCCCTTATTCTTTTATATATTTTAATATGTACACGTCAGAATAAGCATGTTGTTTGAATTTTTACATAACAATAAGTGTTACACTGAATGACAATGTAACATTATTTCAAACAAATTTTAACATTTTATTCTCCAAAAACGTATTTGAAACCTTAAAAGTAGACACTTAACTTACATTTAATGTGCTTTCTATGGACATAAAATCACTTTAGTAAATGTCTTTGGATGAGGACATCTTAACGTCTTTGACCCATTTTCATCATGTGTGTCTAAAGCAGTGGTTCTCAACCAGAGGACATCAGCACACTTCCAAGAGGGTCTCAAGATGACTTCAAATAAGACAAGTCCAGCTTTAAACAAGCTGAAAATAAAGATAGAAGCTGACATATATTTCTTATTTTAGTTTGTTCTGGTCTTGTGGAAAGCCTGAATAAATGAGGGGATTTCAGAAGTGTGATTTCTAGACCTTCAAAGCCATGGAATTAATTAAATCTTAAGAAATCATGGACATTTCTATACTGAATATACTTTTTTTTCTAGTTATGTGAAGTTATAAATTATATATTAATCGTTTAATTAAATATTTTACTAAAATAGAATTGTGTAGTTTATCATGAAATTTGTGAGTAAAAATGCATTTAATTCATTGCTTATAGAGTTCATTTATTAATTGAATGCTTAAAGGGTGTGAACATTATGAAATTTATAGAATTACATAATATAATTATTTTAATTATAATTATCTCATTTTAAAATATTATCACTCCTAGTTTAAGTAAAAAAAAACAAAAACACAAGGTTTGTAATAAGCAGCTATGTGATTACGACAGAAGTGTTGTCAGTGGTTCAGGGCCTTTGAATACTGTCTTGCACTTGCATTTGGAAAGGTTTAAAATGACTCTAAAGCTCTAATGCCATTTTATGTCAACCATCATTCCTGGTCGGAGGCTTCTGTAAATATTTAGTTGATACATAGGGTTAGATTTCAACTTAATTTAATGGTCCAACGCTTGAAAATGTGGTCATGTGTAAACTGTAGTTTAGTGTTCATTTACCTGACAACTGCTGCAACTGACCCCAGATCTGCTCAGAGACATATAAGCAGAAACACACACACACACACACACACACGATCACAGTACAGTAGTGAGGAAGAAGGATAGATACTGTATGTGAAGAGTCTTAAAGACACAGCAGCAGATAATTCTAGGGTTCAGAGAGAGGATGGAAAATAGTCATGACTAAACTAAATATACTTATTATGATAAAAGAAATGCTGAGTGGTTTCAGCAGTCCGTACGTGTGCAGATCTGTCTACATGTCAGAGTTGTGTTTCATCGTTTGAGCTCTGAATGCTCCCTTTGTGAGCTTTCATTGTGCAGCAGATGTGACAGTCTGCTGTTACTTTTTAAAGTGCGATCTCGGTGTGTGTGTGTGTGTGTGTGTGTGTGTGTGTGTGTGTGTGTGTGTGTGTGTGTGTGTGTGTGTGTTGTGACCCAGCTGTCAGTCGTACAGGAAACATATTAAAGGGACCACATGCTATACATCATCTAGCAACCACTCACCCAACACACACACACACACACACACACACACTGCTGCTAGTACGAATAGACGACAGAAAGCACATGACAAAAACCGAATACCAGGAAATTTGAAGTCAAAACAAGAGAACACAGGATCCAGCATTTCTAAGCAGAGGACATGTGACACATTTACAGTTGCTGTCTTAAGTTTACATACACCTCACAGAATCTGCAGAATAATTTTAACAAAATAATATAATAAATTGTTGTTTTTTTCACTGCTGCCCTGCTTCCACAAAACAAAATAATACCTGAATTTACAAAAAATGACCTTGTTCAAAAGTTTACATACACATGATTGTGTGTTGTCACCTGGATATATACAGAGTTATAGCTCTGTTAATATTATAGTTATACAGTGGCCCTTTAAATATGGTGTTGGACAGTATAGTATATTAAAGGTGGGGTAAGTGATTTCTGGTAGCCAATGTTGACATTTGAAATCACCAAAACAAACACGCCCCTGCCCCAAAAGGGTCTCGTCCCTATTTTGATAGCTCCGCCCCACACATACGAATGCAACCCAGGCAACGATTAGTTCTGTGAAACAATGCAAAACCAATGCTACACCGTGTCTACACCGGACGCGAGTGGCGCGGCGCGACAAAATACTATATAACTCATTACTGATTTTCAACGGTCGCTTTGTCGCGTCCAGTGTACTAGACAGACTTTAGCTGTTGCGGCGCAGACACGGTGTTACTCGCCTATCGAGAAGAAACAAAGCAACCTCGGCATCCAATCGCAGGCCTTCCGCTCCTTGAGTTCTCTCCAGCGCTGGAAAGCTGATCCGATATTTACACGGGTCCTACTTCTTGCCTTATTGCCTTAAGCCTTCTTTT